TGGCAGAGGCCACATCATGCGGGACCTTACGGGCCGTTTTAGCACTATGGGATTTTATTTCAGGGGCAGTGCGAGTCCATGAAAGGCCTTGAACAGATTTTTTAAAATACGATTTGCATTTTCTAGAGATGCTCTGCTGTGTGGCGGGGAACTGATTGCAGAGGGCAAAGCCAGAGCAGGGAGCAGTTACACACACGATGCGGGTGCAGCATCTGGCCCAGCGTCTGGCACACACGAGGTGCTCTATAACGAGGCTGACACTGCTACCACCACTTCGCGTTCCAGCACGTCCGTCTCTCCTGGGCGGAGCGAGTGCGCCCCGCCTTGGCAGCCTGGCACCGCAGGCCAACCCACCTTTTCTCCCTAGAACCAAGAGTTGACTCTCCTTCAGAAACAGTGACTTTGACAGTTGACTGGTGGGTGTCAGGCCAGAGTGCCTAAACTTGCCTGTGCCCGCTGCATTCAGAAGGGAGTTCCAGGGCGTGGCTCGTGCCCAGAAGCGAGTCCAATTCCCGCCCGCCCCACGCCCAGTGACAGGGAGGACAGGCAGGAAGCCAGCAGGGCGGACCCAGAGAGAAGGCTAGCTCTGCCCCCTGGGGTCAGGGCTGAGGGAGGAGGGCAATCTGGGCTAGAAGAACGTGTTGAAGATGGTGACTGGAGGGAGGAAAACCTGGGCTGACACTGGGGGGACATGGGGAGCCAAGCAGAGGCCAGAGAACCAGGACCGAGCAGAGTGGGGAGGGGAAGACGGCGGATATAGAGCCAGGTCCACGTGCAGGTCCGAGGGCCCCCAGCGGCTCCTTCCCTCCTCTGAGCATCTGCTCCTGTCTCCCTGCAGGAAGTAAACCCTTCCCTGTCCCTCCGCCCACTGCCCTGCCTTTCTCCTTCCCCCACCCCCCACCCCTGCTCTCCCCACCCCTCTACTGAAATTACTGAAAGTCGCCAGGCCCTCCCACTGGCCTCTCTGCAGGTGGGCTTCCTGGATCCCTCTTTCAAACTATTCTCCCCTCCTTGGCCTGCCCTGATCTCTCTTTTTCCCTCTGACCATTCTTTCTCCTCCACCCCGGGATTCTCTGCCTGCTTCCTAAACACCAGCATGCTCCAGAGCTCCACCTGCACCCTCTCTTCCTCTCAGTGCACTCTGGCAAGGCTGCCCGCTCCACTCCTGCGGCTCCTGCCACGCCCTTGGGGCTGAGGACTCCAGCCGCTGCTGCCACCTACCAGCCATGGACGGCCCACGTGGCTCTAGTCAGCACCAGTGACAAGGGACTCAATAACTCCACCATCTTTATCTGTGCTATGCATCACCTACCCACTCATGTCCCCTGCCACGGTTTGAATGTGTCCCTCAAAGTTCACATTGGAAACTTAATCCCCAATGTGACACTGTTGGAGACATGGGACTTTAAGAACTGATGACGTTAGGTGGATGAGCGTTGTTATAGAGGGAGTGGGTTTGTTATCTTGAGAGTGGGTTTGTCATAAAAGCGAATTCAGCCCCTCGCTCTCACACTCTCTCACCCACGTGACAACCTTCCACCACGTTATAACGCAGCAAGAAGGCCCTCACCAGGTGCCAGCAACTTGACTTGGACTTCCCAGCCAGAGAACTGCAAGAAATATATCTCCGTTCTTCATAAATTACCCAGTCTCAGGTATCCTATTAGAGCAGCACAAAACAGACTAAGTCACCCCCACCCAAACAGCCCGTTTTTCCTTCTGTCGTCCTTATTTCTATCCGTGGCCCAACCACCCACCAAATCACCAAAACCAGCCACCCAGGACCCATCCTACCTCACCCCCTACACCTAGTCAGTCCCCAAAACTGCCAGTTGTATTTACCGACTATGTCCCAAATCTGACCCTCCTGTTCATCTCCTGCCTAAATCGTTGCAGTAACTTTTTCACTCGTCTCACAAGCCCCTCCGATCTGGCCTCTTCTCTCACACAGAGGGAGCTTTCTAAACATACAGTTGATCTTCACGAGTCACAAATTTCATATTATGAATTCATCTACTCACAAAAATGTATTTCTAACCCCAAAGTTAATACTCGAGACACTTTAGTGGCCATTCACGACTAACACAGAGCAGAGAAAACTTGAGTCGCCCGATGCACGTGTTCTTAGCTGAGGTCAAGCAAGGTGACACTCTGCCCTCAGCTCTCGTGCTATGAAACACGTGTCCTGTTGGAGGTCTATTTAGTGCCATGTTTTTCTCATTTTTTTTGGTGATTTTGCTATTTAAAATAGCCTCCAAGCATAGTGCTGAAGTACCGTCTAGTGTTCCTGGCACAAGAAGGCTGGGATGTGCCTTACAGAGAAAATATGTGTGTTAGACAAGCTTCACTCAGGCACGAGTTTCAGTGGTGTTGGCCATGAATTTGATATTCATGAATCAACAGCACATATTAAATAAGGGGCCTTTAACAGAAACACACATAAAACAAAGTTAAGTATTGATCGGCTGATAAAAATGCTGCAAACAGAAGCCCACAGGAACCTAACCTTGTACGGCCCCTAGGAGCAATGGCTCGGTACTCAGTGCTCTTGGTGACGTATAGAACATAAGCACCTCGAATAACGAGAATCAAGAGTGCCAATCTGACCTGGTTTCCTCCTTGTTTAGAATCTCCCATGCCTCCCTCTGCACACGAGATAAATTCAAACTCCTTAGCATCACACTCCAGATCCCGCATGGTCTGGAAGGTCTCTTTACTGAACTACCAGACACCTCGCCCTGTGCTGCCCCCACCACTGCCCAGCCCATGCTCTAACTCTCTTTCATCATCTTTCACAGAGGTCCTCTGCACACTGTGTGCCCACTACCTCAAAGGCCTCTCTCCTCTTTGTCTCCTCTTGGTGAACTCCTATACATCCTTCAAGACCCAGCTTAAATATCACCCTCTCTGGGTCTCCCTCTAGCGGAACTTGACACTTCCTTGTCTGTTATATGTCTCTTACAGCACTTCTCACAATGTTATAACTGATCTGTCTGTGTGTCCCCTCTCTCCTGTACTTGACAATAGTGTTTTGGGAAGAGTGTGGAGGAGTACAGAGGTGTGTGACTCTATTTGCAGGGTGCGTGTGTTTCATACATCACTCATTCAGTAAATAAAAACTGAGGCCTAACTTGACACCAGGCACCATTCTAGGCACCAGAGGTACAACAGAGAGCAAAATAAAGCCATGCCCCATGCGTGTGCAACACTGTGCCCGTAAGTGTGGCCTGTGGGTAAGAGTGTGTACACGTGAGACCACACTGTGCTTGCCTGGGGACGTGTGGTGTTTGTGGCTCCTGGACGCTCTGTCTATTGAATTCCAACCCCCTGTGACCTGTTGATACAGGGCGTCTTGGAAGTTAATGAGGCCAACAGACTGTGTCTGTGTGCTAACGAGAAACCCTCCCCAGGCACCCCCGCCCACCCTCTCTGTCTCTCCTGCAGTCCCTGCCTGGCTCATGTCTGGCCTTTTTGACCCAAAGACAACATCCATCCAAACGAGATTTTCTCTACTGAGTACGTCTGTCTCTCCCTCCCTTCTCCTTTGCCTGACCCACACTCAGAAAGAAAAGGCATAGAAATAAGGAAAAAAGGGAGGAAGTGACATTTTTTTTGAGTACCCACCACGCGCCAGGCCTGTGCTGCGCACTCTACATGTGTCAGAGGCAGCTGTAGAGAGGGCGCCCTTCGTGCCAGGCTTCGTTCTAAGCACTTTACCTCTAAGGCTGGGTAAGTTCATGCATCAACCCTATAAGGCAGGTGTTGTTATTTTCCCACCTGTGCAGATGAGAAGCTGAGGCATCGCACAGTGAGGAAGCAGCAGAGCTGGGCCTCAGCCCACACAGTCTGTGCATTCAGTCACTGCACTGCATGGCACTCACTGTCTTCTCACGACACCCCTCACAGGTGTGGGACGTCTCATTGTTCAGAGAAGAAAACAGGTAAATTACACAGATCAAAAACTAGCAGGGATGAGACTCAAATCCAGGGTGTGAGATTCCAAATGCAGGGACATGGGGCCCTGATGCAGAGATGTGAGCTCCAGATGCAGGAGTGTGGGCCCCAGATGCAGGGGTGTGGGGCCCAGATGCAGGAGTGTGGGGCCCAGATGCAGGGGTATGGGGCCCAGATGCAGGGGTATGGGGCCCAGATGCAGGGGTGAAGAGACCAGATGCAGGGGTGTGGGGCCTAGATGCAGGGGTGTGGGGCCCAGATGCAGGGGTGAAGAGACCAGATGCAGGGGTATAGAGACCAGATGCAGGGGTGTGGGGCCCAGATGCAGGGGTATAGAGACCAGATGCAGGGGTGTGGGGCCCAGATGCAGGGGTGAAGAGACCAGATGCAGGAGTGTGGGACCCCGATGCAGGGGTGTGGGGCCCAGATGCAGGGGTGTGGGGCCCTGATGCAGGGGTATAGAGACCAGATGCAGGGGTGTGGGGCCCAGATGCAGGGGTGTGGGCTCCAGATGCAGGAATGTGGGCCCCAGATGCAGGGGTGTGGGGCCCCAGATACAACTCCTCCAATTAGGAGGAATTGGCCAGGCAAGGAGGGATGTGGGATCAGGGCGTCCAGGTGGCTGCAACTGAAGGGGCCCAAGCACCCTGGCCAGGACCAGATTCTGGGAGGCATGGAGTTTCCAAGGCAACAGGAGCCATGAGAATGGAAGGCCACTGCGGAGCAGGCCGAGAGAGGAGAACTCAAGAGCAGCCCGTGGAAGCCGGAGGAGCCCAAAGAATCAGCAGTGGAGAACATCTGAAGAGGACCAAGAGGGTAAGACAGGCCTCAGCTCCTCCCACCCAAGGTCAGGGATAGGAAGATGAACGGGGGTCAGAGTGGACCTGTGGTTCTCCCCTGAGAGGATGCCAGGATTCCGGGCTCAGTGCCCTGGGAGGAGTGAACCCCTAAGTGTCTGAGTCTAGGGAGGCTGGGGCCCAGCCAATGGCAGTGCTGGCCACAGCTCCTCCTCCTCCTCCCAGGCTGGGCCGGCACACCCAGGCAGGCTCTGTCCTAGGAACAGGCTTCCCCAGAAACCCTCCCTGGTTCGGACATGAATTCCAGCTACTTGCTGAGTCCCGCTGCCCGCTGCCAGGAGCCAGGAGAGCACTGAGGAGAGCACTCAGGTAAGGGCATCTGTGTCCAGATGTGCTCTGCCCCTTGGCACACTCGGTAGGGGTGGACGTGTCTGGTGGGGAGTAGGGGGAGATGGCCTAGACCCATCAGCCACCCTGGGTCCTGACGGTGGAGGAATGAGGGGCTCCTCCCTCCCTGCTCTGGGCTCTTCCTGCCCTCCCCAGCTGGGCAACAGTGGGAGCAGGGAACTGAGTGGGAGGGGGGCTGAGCGGGCCCGCACCCAGCAGCAGGAGCAGCTCTGCCCAGGCCTGCAAAGCCCCGCCCCACCCCACCCCAATAGGGTGCGCTGGGTGAGAGTCCCTGGGGGCTAAGGGCTGGGGCCTCCCTAGGCGTTCCCTGAGAAGCTGCCAGGAGTTCCACCCGCCGTAGGCAGGACTGAGCAGACAAGCCGATGATTCAGAGCAGGGGCCCCATGTCCAAGTGGTAGGTGGTGTAGAGAGACAGGGAGGGGGGCAAATGTACCCCCAGCCTCCCTCTCCCGGGATCCATGAGGAGGAGAATGGAGTGGGCACAGATGAGCAGGCAGCTCACCAAAACTTGAGGAAAGGGGCTCAGGCTCAAGACAGGGCAGTCCCCAGAGGATGGGCTCTGGAGCCAGCTGGCCTGGGTTCAAATCCAAGCTCTGCTGCCTATTAGCTGAATAACGGATGAGCAAATTAACTAACCTCTCTGTGCTCCACTTTCCTCATCTGTAAATTGGGTATAAAAAGTATCCTACTCCTTTCTAAGGTTGCTGTGAAGGAATACTGTATTGATTCATACAAAGTGCTTAGAACAGTGCCTGGCAGGGCACAAACAGCCCATCAATTTGGTTGTTACCACTGTGCTGCTTTTGCACGCAGGGGCACAGGACAGCCTGGTGACCCCGGCCTGGCCCAGCACTGGGAGGGCATCGTGAACCCATTAGAGCACGAGGCTATGCAGACAGGGTCCTGGGTGCACACCAGGGTGAGACCACAGTGCATGGGTCTCGGTGGAGCCCCCAGGAATCAGGCAGAGGACGTGGGCACCCCTCACTCTGCATAGCAGTCACAGTCCTTAAATGGGGGTAAATCTGACTCTGTGAGTTCATCCTGCCAAATCCACCAGCAGAACCGACTGGGGCAGCGTTCCCCATTCTGGTGTCTTGACAAGGCTGTTCCAAAGGTGCTAAAAGATGTATCAGGGGAAAAGGGGTTCCACAGTCAGAGGAGGTGGAGCAATACCACATATTTTGTCCCTCTTTTGGTGTTTCACAAAATGAAAGTATTAGCATGGTCGAGCAAAGGGACTTATTTAACTTTGCTGAAGCCAGTGTTTGCAGACTTTTCTTGGACACAGAATCCTTTTCTCTCACTAGTCCTGTTGCCAGCTTACGGAACAGGGCTCCATGGAACATAGGTTTTGGAAACGCTGGCATACCAGGCTACTCTGGGAAGCCCACTGTCTAAGAGAGTTGTTGCTCCCTACTTTACCTTTCAGCTGGACTGCCGCTGGCCTCGCCTCCAGTGAGTCGCACCTGGGCAGGACAGTGCCTGGGTATGTACACTGTTAGACCAGATAGGGATTTGGAGACAAGGTCCGGCATCCTCTCCAGCCCCATCCCCTGAGCCCCTTGGGAGGGGGCTGGCTAAGGGGAGAGAGCAGTGCTCAGAAAGGTGAGAAGTCCCCTGAGGAGGAAGGTCAGGGCGGGAACAGAGGGAGAAGGCAGAACGTCCCAGCTCCCTGAGTCTTCGCTCCGCAGAACTCCAAGACCAGAGCCTTGGGCCCTGGGAGGAACGCGGGGTTCCCTGGACCCGCCTTCCTCCACTTTTATGGGTAAATTGTGCTCTGGACTTAATTACCTGTGCTCCAGTCCCAGCTCTGCACCTAATAGTTGCGTAACCTTTTATAACCCCTCTAAGCCTCAGCTTCCTCCACCTGTAAAATGGGGACAGTAAAAGGACCTAGTTCCTCTGGTCATGACAAGGATTAAACGTGATGACCTATTTCTACAAAATGCTCGGGGCACGTATTCCATAAACGTGGAGAATTATTATTATCATTTCCCTGCAGGAGCAGCCGGCGCTTGGGTCCGCCATGAACTGGGCGATCTTCGAGGGGCTCCTAAGTGGGGTCAACAAATACTCCACAGCCTTTGGGCGCATCTGGCTGTCCCTGGTTTTCATCTTCCGTGTGATGGTGTACCTGGTGACAGCCGAGCGCGTGTGGAGTGACGACCACAAGGACTTCGACTGCAACACGCGCCAGCCCGGGTGCTCCAATGTCTGCTTTGACGAGTTCTTCCCCGTGTCCCACGTGCGCCTCTGGGCCCTGCAGCTCATCCTGGTCACGTGCCCCTCGCTGCTGGTGGTCATGCACGTGGCCTACCGCGAGGCTCGAGAGAAGAGGCAACGAGAGGCCACTGGGGAGGGCGGTGGGCACCTCTACCTCGACCCTGGCAAGAAGCGGGGTGGGCTCTGGTGGACGTACGTCTGCAGCCTGGTGTTCAAAGCTGGCATAGACGCCACCTTCCTCTATGTGTTCCACTCGCTCTACCCCAAATATACCCTTCCTCATGTGGTCAAGTGCCACGCAGTTCCATGTGGCAATATAGTGGACTGCTTCATCTCCAAGCCCTCGGAGAAGAACATCTTCACCCTCTTCATGGTAGTCACGGCCGCCGTCTGCATCCTGCTCAACCTCGTGGAGCTGGCCTACCTGGTGAGCAAGAGGTGCCGCGAGTGCCTGGCAGCGAGAAGAGCCCAAGCCGCATGGACTGGGCATCACCCACACTGCAAGCAGGACGACCTCCTCTCAGGCGACCTCATCTTTCTGGGCTCAGACACTCACCCTCCTCTCGTACCAGCCCCGCCTCGAGACTACGTGAAGAAAACCATCCTGTGAGGGGCTGCCTGCACTGGGCTAACGGGTTAGGCCTGGGTTAGAAGTTTCCAGCATCTCTCATAGGTGCCACCTGGGAGTGGGGGCGCTAAGCCGTGAGGAAGGGGCAGGCAAGAGGCCTGGGATCCGAGTCTTAATGGCCAGCATGTGGCCTTGGGCAAGTTACCCCTGCTCTGCACCTTGGTTTCCTTGTTAAGACGGAGACACTGAGTGCTGCTTCTCAGCGTCGTTGTGAGGAGGGGTTTCGTACGAGAACAGGTGTGCAAGCACGTGCAGTGTGTGTGACCCACCGTCAGGGCTTAATAAAAGCCAACGCATTTGCTGATTCCAGGTGCCCTTGGTCGTTTGGCCTTTGTGATTCTCATCAGTTCATTGTGTCAACCTCCCCGTCCCTGCAAAGGGCTGTCCTTGATCCAGCCAGATGAGGGGCTGTCCTCTCCCCCAGAAAAGGGGCCTCCCAGCATTCCTGGGGACCCTGCTACTTGCTCATGCTCAAGTCTAGCCTTTATCCCCAGTTGCAAGTTCAGGCCTGTGGGTCACCTACAAAGAGAATGGAGCTTAGCCCGTGGGGAGCCATATCTTGCAGAGGGAAGTTCATGGGCTCTGGAGCCAGATGCCTGCAGGCAGACCCAAGTTCCACTGGGTCTCTGGGAAAGTGACTTCAACTCCTCTCCAAAATGGGTTAATAATACCTAGCCTGTGGGGTTATCGTGCGGTCTAATGAGCTCATGGCTGTGGACAGGGCTAGCCAGCTGTAAAAGGACGCATACATGTTAGTCATTGGTATTAGGAAGTACTCGATAAACGCTTTTGGAAAATAAAGCAGAGGGCCCCTCCCTAGCTGCACATTAACCTTCACTGTCCCAGCCAGGACACAGGCCCCAAGTCCCTCTGCAGCACATGTGGGGTCACACTGCAGCTTCCAGGAGGCCTTCCCCAGAACCCCAGGGGCCTGGGCCCGCCAGGGACGGACAGCAAGCTGTGCCTGGCCCCATGCCAGCTGGGCATTCCATGCTGCCGACCTGCATTGCTGGGCTCCACTGGGGCAGCAGGTACTCTGGTCTAGAAAAGCCATAGCCATCCCCTTTTGTCCCCTATATACTCAAGAGCAACCCAGGCTCTAGTCCCCAGAAATGTCCCCACCAGGGCAGGATGCATCCCTGAACTGAATCAAGGTTGCCCCTTTCCATAGACATCAGCTGCTGAGAACTCAGAACCAGGTGTCCAGAGCAAAGGAGGAAAAGGCCTGAGGACAAGGAAGTAGGGGCCATGGGACAACAGAAGGGGACAGGGTCAACCCCATGAGTATGAGGATACCAGGCCCCTGCCCCCCTCTCTGCATCTCACCCACATACCTGCCCACCTGGGAGCCAGGCCAGGCCATGCCCAGCCAGGCTAGAGGGAAGGCGTGGGCCAGGCGAGAAGAGCCACAGGTGTTTGCTCTGAATATGTGCCCGGGGAAGTCCGCCCTCCCTCCTGCCCACCCAATCACTCTCGCTTGGCTCATTGGCTCAGAAAGCCCCACCCAGCAGGGGAGTGAGGAACAAAAGCTGCCTCCAGGAGGCCCTCAGGCAGATCCGGCAAGCCCAGGGACAGGAGAGCGGCTACTGGACCCAAGAAGGGTGAGGACCAAATAGGGCAAGAGACTGGGCCAGGAAGCAAGGGACCAGCTGGGCTGAGGACCAGACTTCAAGGAGGGGCCAGAGGGGCAGGGTCCCTGGAGAAACTCCAGGGAAGCTCCACGGAAGGGAAGGAATGTCCAGCCCAACCAAAAGGAGGGCAGAGGACCAGAGAGGAGGCGAGGAAGAGAAGGGATCAGGAAGAAATGGGTTTCAAGTCATTTTAAGGAACATCCATTGTGTGTTCTCTGGGCCAGGCCCGGTGCTGGGCCCTGGGGAGATGGAGAGGGATGAGGTGTGGTCTGCCTTCCAGCAGCCGAGAGCCTGGCAAGGAAGACAGGTGAATAGACCATTTGGGCACAGGTGATGCATCCCACCATGAAAGACAGAGGAGGGTGCCCAGAAAGTGTCCCGAGGCATGATGTCTGGAGAGGCTGAGTCAGGGACAGGGGAGGGCAGGGCTTGGGGATGGAACAGGATAGGGAATCCAGGCAAGGGGCTGTGGAGGTTGGAGTGCACAGGATGGGGCCCGAACGGAAATAATGGGAGACTTGGGCAGCAGACAGCTGCTAAGCAGGTGGGGAGGGGTGTCCCTGGGAGAGAAAATAAATGGTGGGAAATAGACCATGCCACATCTGGCCTCTGTCCCTTCCCAGGTCCCTCCCTAAAGCTGGAATGAATGGTTGGAATTCCAGAGGAACCCACTGTGGTCCAGACAGTCAGCCCTCGGGCCCCAGCACCGACCCAGGGAGTGGCAGGGATAATGCCAGGCCACCGTGTTGCCGAAGAGCTTCTGTTTAGTTTGGGAGGGAACACCAGGGCTGGGAACCTTCCTGGAGCCAGAGCGGAGGAATAAGGATGAAGACTGTTCCAGGATCTACCAGGGGGCTGATGTGACCGTGTCCAGCACAGGGCTAGGCTCACATTGGCATCCTATAAAAGTGGGATGAATGTGACAAGTGATAAGGACACACTCCCATCCCATCCCCCCTGGCCCAGCCCCAGCAGCTGATAGGAGAACGGCTCATCCAGTCCAAGCCTTCTTACTACCTCCTTAGAAGCCGTGTGACCCGTGGGGCTGAAACGTGGGGTAAAAGAGGTTGTCTGGCATGGCCAATGCAGGGTGAGTATGTTCACATGTATCTGTTACTTTGTAGAATAAAATAGACCCTGATTTTGGAACCTGAAGACCAAAGTTCAAGACCAGCTCTGCTACTTCCAGCCGTGGGGCCTTGGGTGGTTGCCTCTGAGCCCTGGCTTACACCCTGAGAAATGGGGACAATGACAATCCCTACCCTTCCGACTCACTGGGAGTAAGGACATGATGACACAGTGGTTGTGAAAAGGTTTTTTCAGTTGCACTATCACTAAGAGCGCCCATCTCCTGGCCTCAAGGCTCCCATCCTGAGTGAGTGGTGCCCAGGTGTAGACTGTCCACGTGAGGTACCGGGACACAGCCAACATGAACTGGGCGTTTCTGCAGGGCCTCCTGAGCGGCGTGAACAAGTACTCCACGGCACTGAGCCGCATCTGGCTGTCCGTGGTCTTCATCTTCCGCGTGCTGGTGTACGTGGTGGCGGCCGAGGAGGTGTGGGACGATGAGCAGAAGGACTTCGTCTGCAACACCAAGCAGCCCGGCTGCCCCAACGTCTGCTATGATGAGTTCTTCCCCGTGTCCCATGTGCGCCTCTGGGCCCTGCAGCTCATCCTGGTCACGTGCCCCTCGCTGCTGGTGGTCATGCACGTGGCCTACCGCGAGGAGCGCGAGCGGAAGCACCGCCTGAAACACGGGCCCAACGCCCCGTCCCTGTACGACAACCCAAGCAAGAAGCGGGGCGGACTCTGGTGGACCTACCTGCTGAGCCTCATCTTCAAGGCCGCCGTCGACTCCTGCTTCCTCTACATCTTCCACCGCCTCTACAGGGACTACGACATGCCCCGCGTGGTGGCCTGCTCCGTGGCGCCTTGCCCTCACACTGTGGACTGTTACATCTCCCGACCCACGGAGAAGAAGGTCTTCACCTACTTCATGGTGACAACAGCTGCCATCTGCATCCTGCTCAACCTCAGTGAGGTCTTCTACCTGGTGGGCAAGAGGTGCATGGAGATCCTTGGACCCAGGCGCCGGCGGTCTCGGCTCCGGGTTCGTCTACCCGACACGTGCCCACCATATGACCTCTCCCAGGGAGGGCACCCCGAGGACAAGAACTCTGTCCTATTGAAGGCCGGGTCAGCCCCCATGGATGCAGGTGGGTATCCATAATCTGCGAGGTTGGCAGGCAGGATCCCCAGGCTGCCCCCACATGTTCCCCAAGGCCACCCAAGAAGATGGGCAAGGGCAGTGGCATCTTTTCTGTAGCAGGGCAGGTGAGGAGGGTGGCTGTGGGGCTCAGAAAGCTCACATGGGGACAGTGTCAGGGACAGGTTGGTCCCTGGGTTCCGAGCCTCAGGGGAGGGAGGCCAATGGCTAGCGGGAGTTTGTATATGGCGATAGGGGATGTCAAAACCCTTAATAGATGTGATTTTCCCCGTACTTTGCAGACAGGTGGGGAGTGGCAGGTGGGAAGGCAGGGGGATCAGATGGACGTTGGAAAGGAGGCCAAGACCACTCAATGGACACCTGAGTGCTGGACCCTCGGATGCAGACTCACCCGTCACGCCCACCGCACACACACAAGTGGTGGGAAGTGCCCCAAGGCAGAGGCCACTCTGGGGGCGTCTGGGTTCTGCAGCCAGCTGGCCAAGGCAGGAGGAGGGGACCCCAGGGGACTGTGTGCCCAGAAGGAGTTGGTTCTCTCTGCATGTCCGTCAGGTCTCTGCCTCCCCCACTGGCCTCCTAGCCCTGCCCAGCACAGGTCCCGGCTCAGTGGGCCCCTCTGACAGTGGGAGGGGACAGTGCTGACAGCAGGTGAGGACTGGGGTCTGTCAGGGTATCCAGGAGGCATGTCCCCACAGGCCAGGGCCCACTGAGAACATCTGAGCTAAAAGGTCCTCATGAATCCTCAAGGCTGTGGAATTTCCTGATCTTTTCACGAACACACATTCCCTGAGCAGCCTCATCCTCCCCAGCCTGCCACCACTCAGACCTTGACGACTCCCCACACTCCCTTCAGCCTGGACCTGCCTCTGCGTGCCACCAACTGCCCCCCAGACATCTCACCCTTGGCGGCTCCAAACTGACCTCATCAACTCCCCCTCAACCTCTCCTCCCAGCTACCCCACCTCCTGGAGGGCACTGCCATCCCTCCAGCTGTCCAAGCCTGCCGCCGGCCTGTCGTCCTGGTCCCCCACACCCCACATCCCCACAGCACCAAACCCCATGGATTCCAGCCCCTAAAGGCCTCCTGAATCTGCCCCTCCTCTCCCTTAAAACTACTCACAGGGCCTCTCCCATCTGCCCTCCACCACTGGGACGCAGTGATTGATCTGCGATTGCATCTGACCAAGTCACTCCTCCTGCTTGAAAAATCCTCACCCCACCCCTGAGGCCTTCGACCTGGTCCCACTGACCTCCCAGCTTCGACCCCTGCTTCCTCCCCCCTCCTCAGCCACCAGCAATACCGAAGGGCACGTGGTTCACCGAGCAGACACATCACGTTGTGTCATGCCTCATGCCTTTGCTACGCTGTTCCCTCTGCCTGGAATGCTCTTCCTGCCTCCTCTGCGACCCTCCCTCAAGCCTCAAGGACAGGCTTACCCACCCTTCCGTGTGCCAGCCTCACTTGTACTTCTGCCATGCTCCCAAAATTGGAAGGGTCAGTCCCCCCAAGTGTCTCCCCGTCAGTCTGTGAGCCCTTCCTGGGCAGGACCCTGAGCCATCCAGGTCGCCAGACACCTTCAATAAATGCTTGTTAAATGAGTAAATAGGCCATGAACTGCTCGGGGAGAAGGAACTGTGTCTTGTTTATGTGAATCCTCCACCACACCCAGCCCAGGGAGTTCAGTAAAGTATCGTTTACTTGCGTGTTCTGTTTTTGTTGTTGCTGTTTTAACTAAAACCAGCCTAAAGGTCTCATTTATGGGAGAGCACACTTGGCACCAGAGAGGGGAGGGAGGCCCTCCAAGCCCACACGGATCTGCCGAGTCTATTGGGGCTGTGTCCCCTGTGGTCCGTGGGTAGCCTCCATGCCCACCCCGATTAGGGGCCAAGAGCAGAGTCACCGTCTCGTGTCACGTTCCCTGGGAGCAGAGCCAGGGCCAGGGGCTTGTGTGCAGGTGAAGGCAGGAGCAAAGGAAGTGGGAGAGGAGGGGCTGAGCGGGCAGGGAGGTGGGCTCAGGGAGATATAGCTTTGGATCGTGGGGCGAGGGGGCTTTGGATCATAAATCCCACCGGGTTCCAGTCAGCCATTGGCTTCAGGCTGCCCCAATGGCAGGAGGGCTGGCAGGAAGGGGCGGAGGCCTTCCGCTCAGTAAGCCACGAGCAGCCAATGTTCACAGCAGTCAGGGGACATGGCAGGGCACCAATGCCATCTACTGAACTCCTGACTCTGGGGACAAGGGCTGCTCCCACTCCCAACCCAGACCCGAGCTGTGCCCACCCAATCCAGGAGAACACTTCAAAGCCAGATGGCCCCACACTGCTCAGTCCAGGCCAGGGACCAGCCACAGCCAACTCCCCCCCGAGACTTCCAATCCCTTCTCCCAGGCTGGGCCCAGCACACGGTGAGCTCATTCCAGGACCTGACATCCTCTCCCCGGGTGCTGTTCCCAAAGGTCTCAAGTCCTAAGCCACTGAGAGAGGCAGAGGCTCATCCTCTAGAAACCACATCAGCCATCGGACTGTCTTATCCCTGCCCACACACACTCTCCAGCTCCCACACGGCTCTCGCCACCCCATCCCCTCTGCTCCAGCCCCTGCCTCCTCTTCTGCCCTCTCTCCTGCCCCCATTGCTGCCACCTACTTCCCTTCACTCACTGAAGACTGAGCCCATGGCCCAGGGCCTCCTCCTGCTGTTCCCCCACAACCCGGGGTCGGAGACCACCTGTGCATCACTGCGTCCTCTTCCCCCAACAACCGCCCCCTCTGCGACATTCAGCTACCCACTCACAGGACCATTCCCCAGACCTTGTCACCACCGAGAACTGCTCCCCCTCTGGAACCTTCCATTCGTAGGAATCTTTGTTGTTTATTATTCACTTTTATCAGAAAGCTCCACACTAGGTGCTGAGGATTTGTCTGGGAAGAATCAGACATGGTCCCTGACCTCACTTACGTCCTAGAGAAGAAAGCAGCTCCCGGACTCACAGCACGTGGGGGAGCCAGGATGCTGGGGGAGGGGAAGGAGGGGCTGACATCCTGGTACCCTGGAAAGATGCCTGGATGCCCCCTCAGGCTTTTTACACTGACACCTAGAGAAAGAGGAGGATTTTGCCAAGAAATGCGGTGTGATTCCAGACAGAGGGGAGAGCAAGGGGAGAGCAAACCTAATGACAAAGACAGAAGGAAACCCAGGAGGGCTTGGGCCAGGTTGGGGTGCACGAGGCTGGATTATGTAGGGCTTTCTTTATAAGTTCTTGTTAATGATCTTGGACTTTATCCCTGGAGAGACTTAGGACAGAAGTGACAGGGTCTTAATTTGCAGTGTCTCTGGCTATAGTGTGCAGGGCCCAGGGCAGGGCTACCTGTTTGGAATCTGATGTAATAGTCCGAGCAAAGCAACAACAATAGCCTGAACTAGGGTGTGCGCAGTGGGATGGAAAGAAGTAGCTGGATCTAAGAAATGTTTACGAGATAGAATCAAAAAGATGTGGCGATTGGATTGGGTGTGGGGATCAGAGTGACACCCAGGTTTCTGGTTCTGGACGGAGGTGCTATTGACTGCAGCGGGGAGATGCAGACGACTTCAGTTTCAGATGTGTGCAGTTTGAGACACAAGTAAGACACCCGGGTGACTCCCTCTCCTTCACAGGCAACCTTAGCCCCTGGCTCGCTGTCTTTCTCTCTGCTACTGCAGGGATCTTCGCTGTTGGTGACGCCACATCCAACACCATAGTCTCTCAGTCCCTTGCCTTCCTATTTCCAACAGTCTGTTTCTCCACCCATCCAGCCACCCACATGCGTGTTCACACCTCGGCCTTGTCTCCACTGAGAGCTGCACCATTTCCTATCGACGCAGCTGCCCACCCTGGCTCCCATCGCAGTGGTCCTTCTGCCCCTGTATAGACCCCCACTCTTTTCCCTGCCCCTGCACATCCTCCCCGCCCTCCTTTCCCTGCCTGGACTCCACCGGCCCCCCAGTAATCACTGACTCATAGATGCTGCCACCCCATTTTCTTGTCGGGCCTCTCCAGTGCACACCTGGCAAGACCCTATGTCCGGTTAAACCCAACTCTCTGTGCACCTGTTCCCGAGCACCTGGAGGATAATATTAATACAACAGGGCTGACTGGTCTCAAGTTAACCTTCTAACCACAAAGATCAAGTGGGCACTCAGCACCTCTAAGTCTATATTTTCCTAAAACTTTAACTGTATTCTCCAAGATAACCATATCATACCTTCCCCTCTTTCCTCAAGCCTCCAGCCCCCATTCCCCTAATCCTTCATTTCAGCAGAGAGCCAGGCATCGTGTGTCCCTGGGGAGTAGGAGCCATGGCTAGCTCTTCTCCCCACCCTCCAGGCTGCCCGCCTCCCGGCACGAATGTCCATCACTCTGCCTGCTCCCCTGTCACACGGGGAAGCATCCCTGCTCCTGGGACACCCTCCGCTTGGACAGTGGACCCTTCACCTCTCGCCCATTCCAGACAGTGCTCCACAGTTGGCGTCGCTGCATCCTGCCTCACGAGTCCCCTTTCTGCAAATATGCTATCGTGTTGTCATCTCTCTCCTTTCACCGTTCTCTCTTGACATCCCATCCTCCTCCAGCTAAAAGCTGTCTATCCCTGCTGTCTCCGCTTCCTCAGCACTGTAACCCACTCCAGGCAGGGCTCTCGTCAAGGTCCCCAATGGCCTCCAAGTCACCAAACCCAATGGTGGGTTTTACTCCCTCGGCCACATCTGGCCACTGAGAGCTCACTCCCTAAGCACTGTCTTCCCTCAGCTTCCAGAAATCTGCCTCTCCCACTCTCCTCCCACCTCATTGATGGGTCTTTCTTGACCTCTATGGATGCCTCTTCTTCCTCTTCCCAATCCCTAAATGCAAGATGCCCCAGGGCCCAGTTCTCTACTCTTTCCTCCTCTGTATCCATTCTCCCCCAGTGATCCTACCCAGTAACATCCATGAAACCATCTAGAAGCTGATGACTCCCACACTGGTGTGTCCAGACCCAACCACTCCCATGAGCACCAGGCTCATGTATCCAATTTCCTGTTGTCATCGCAAATAGAACTCCTGAACTCCCTCACCGAGAACAGATGTATGTCCTCTCTCAGGCGTCCCCACCTTGGAAGATGACATCCCCACCTTGGAAGATGACATCCCCGTCCACCCAGCTGCTCAAATCAAAAGCCTAGAGTCTCTTTCCTCATAACCGCATCCACACCATTAGCAAGCCATGGCAGCCATAATTCCAAAATACTACATTCAAAATCAAGT